ACGTCACGGCGCCGGCGCGGGGCTCCGCGGGCATGACGTCATGGCCGCACCCACGCACGCCGCGCCCCGTGACGTCGGGCGCCAAGGCCACGCGCTTGCCGCAGAGGTGCGTCTGAGTCCGTGCTGCCGCCTGTCAGTCATCCGCGCAGGGTCAGGGCTGCACGCCCTAGAGCAGAAACGGGGCGTCTGCGCAGACCCAGGGCGAGCCACGGGAGGCGGGAAACCTCATCTCCAGAAGCTTCCGAGGCCAGAGATGGAAAAACCCGCGTCAGAGCGCGGCTGACAAAGGCGGCCCTTGGAGAGCCTGGCATCAGGTGCCAGAGAGGACTACCCCAGGGAGAACTCCGGCAGAGAGGCCTCAGAAAGGAGACCTCAGAGCACAGAGGACCCCGTCCCCCAGCAGAAAACTCCTCCTGCAGATAGAAACCCCAAAGTGGGCCTCTCCAGGCAGAGAGGACCAGGCCCCCAGCAGAGAAATCTCCTTGGAGTGAGCCCCCCCCCGGAGAGGAGACCCTCCCATGCAAAGAGGACCGCCGCCCCCAGGCAGAAAGGAACCCCAGAGTGGACCCCCAGGCAAAGAGGACCCATCCCCACGCACAGGGGACCTCCATCAGAGATGGCGCTCTTAGGAAACCCCCGATAAGAGTCGACCCTCCAGGTGGCGCCCTCCACCTGCGTACGTTTGTATCCTCCTTGAGACTGGGGATTCTACTTTCAGGAGCCACAGCTGGGGGAAGCCACTAACAAGAACCCAAGGGGCTGGGAAGCCCCGTAGGAATAGAGACCCTGCCTAGCTGGTGTGAACCCCTGGGGTCAGTTTCCCAGCATTGGAGAAAAGGGAAACAGACAAACACTGGGCTTGCAACACGCTTATGATCCCTGCAACTGGAAGGTGGAAACAAGAGGATCAAAAGTTCAAGGCCAGCCTCGGCTACGTGCTGGAACTGAAGCTAATCTAAGATACCTGAGAACGTTTCTTAAGACAAGAGTTGGGGCAGAGCTGGTTGGCCCTTTCTGCTGCCTAAGTACAGGAGACTGCAGCCTGGGTGCAGAGACAGGGGTCGGGACTTGCCTTCTTTCCACACAGAAGGGCGTTATAGAAAGCAATAGGGTGACACAAAGGGACCGCTGTCAAAGGCTGGGCCGCAGAGTGACAAGCCCGCGACTATTAGAGGTTCGAGAAGAGAGTACAGTACCTCTGTGCTTTGTGACCGTCAGGGAAGACGGCTCAGGGCCGTGTCGCTGTCCGAGGTGCTGAACGCTCACCGCTTGTCCCTCGCCGCCTGGCACTCTGCAACCCAGCTTCACTCCCGTTCTGTTTTGTTGAGGCATATTATCCTATTTCCCTGTATTATTAAAAATCTTAAGGTAAGGGCTGGCAAGATGTAAAGGCACCCTCCACCAAGCCTGCGACCTGAGTTTCATCCCTAGATCCCGTGTGGTGGAGAATAGACCCCTCAAGTTGTCCTCTGACCTCCACACAGTTGCTGTGGCACAATCACACACACACACACACATACACGTGCAGGCTCGCAAGCACGTGAACACGCACACAAAATAAATAGATAAATTGGTGAGTATTTAAATGAGTAACTGTTTCTTGAATGTAGAAATGTGATTTAAATTAGTGTGGTTCAAATTCATGTACTTTAAATAAACAAATAACTTTTTCTTAGGTTTGGAAATGCCAAACATATACATAATCTGAGAATGAGATAACTTTTAGGCACCTGTCACATCTCATCACATAATATCTATGATCAACTCATGTTTTATCAGGTAGTGTGTGCATGCAGGCACACGCTGGGCATTTGTGCATTATCTCATCCATGCATACTTACTTCTCGACGGACCTCTAAGAAAACACACTTCCCAATGCAAGACACAACCTCGAGGTGATTGTCAGGATGATCTGATCAGTTAGGCATGGTGTCACATGCCTGTCGCTCTAGCATTTGGGAGCTGGAGGGAAGGAGAGTCAGGAGTTTGAGGTCATCTTCAGCTACACAGTGAGTTCAGGGCCAACCTGGACTACATGAGATTGTGTCAGGAACCAACAGCAGCAGTGACTGTGTGGGATGATAAACACACCTGTTTCACTGGATCGGATGTCATCTTCTGACCCCTGTGGGCACCTGCACACAGTGGTGCACATTCTTTCACCCAGACACACGCTTCGTAAAAATAAATGTTCAAAAACCTTGGTGATATGACACAGCCTGTGGCTCTCAGCATGCCCTCCATCCTCTCACCCACAGCTGTGGCTGTGCTGCGACAAGGACTTCATTCTCTCTGCAGGGCCTCTGCACCCGCCGCTCCCCCCAGGGCCTGGTAGAAGCTCTGGACTCTTGTCAGGTCTCAGCTCAATAGCAGCCTTCATGGAGCAGCCTCCTGACAGCCTGGTCCCTATGGCTCCCCACTTGGTTTCACATCTGCCCTCCCTATGTTCTCTTCTGAGGACCTTTGGGAGGGCTCGTGGCATCATATCCCATCTGTGTTCCATCTGAGAGCCAAATGAATGAATGAATGATACGTGGTGACTAGATGGTCAATGTATGGATAATCAAGGGATGAATTAATGAATGAGTCACACATCATCTCTTTTGTCCACTGTTTATTACTTAAGCTCTTCTCCTGTTGGCACCTCCATTTCTCTACAGACCCATCTCCACTCAGGTCAGGGGCATAGTGTAGATTCTTCAGGAACAGAAGAAACAGAGACCCCAAGGAGAGGCCAGAGGAGGTTTGGTATGTGTGGTACCCAGAAACCTTCCCAAGGAACCAGGTTGCAGGGGCAGTAGGTTCCGTCCCCATCTAGGATCAAGACTCCCACAAATGGATCCCCAGCTGGCCACTTTCCATCTGCACTTGTTACAGGGGTCAGCTCTTCAGGTGAGTGCAGACCAGATACGATGAGTGAGGTCAGAGCAGTCACTGCCGTGAACTGGGCCTTGAGGCCCCAGTTCCAGTGCTGCACAGGGTGGAACACACCTCCGCTGGACACCTGTGCCCTCTGTGTCCCCCACATGGAGATCCAGTACTGAGATGTGTCTTAGCTTGTTCTGTCTTTTCTCCATGACAAAATGGGCAGGAAGAGGGCAGTGGCCTGGACACACAGTAGCCTGGTGACATCCAGAGAGGCCCTGGAAATAAAGGTCCCAGGAAGGGCTGCGGAGAGCCCTCATTCCCCTCCAGGAAGCCACCTGCCCACACGAGAAGCACAAGGCCTGGCATGGGCACGAGGAGCAATTTCCCTGAGCCGGGTTCAGAGCTCCTGGGGGATGAGCCACAGCCAGAGGCAGACATGAGCACACAGGATGTGGCAAGGACAGGATTCAAGGGGGTCGCGCATTTGGTTGGCCTAGCCCAGTGCACGATCAGCCAGCCTGAGGTTCAAGGCCCGGTTCTCAGAAGCAGCTGTCCCCCGCTGAAGGGGACCAGAGTCTGCGCTGGTGACAGGCGGGCTAAAGAGGGAGCAGGAAGCGTGTGTGAGTTCAAGGCCTGGAGTTTGGTAAAGGTAAGATGTACTACAGGGACCGCCCTTACAGGGAGCAAGTTACTTCATCCCCAGCCCTCTGAGGAACGTCTCAAGCCCTCAGCAGAATCAAACAGGAGAATATCAGAACTCCAGCGTAGCTTTTCCTAAGAGGGCAGGGGCAGGAGAGTATGGGTACACTGTGTCTCCTACATCAGGGAAGTTGTCAGAAGACAGGCCAGCAGTCTCTAGCCACATAGAGCCAGCCTTGAGGGACAGAGCGAGAATTGTACCAACCACAGAGCTGTGATAAAGATTCCCCAGCAAACCGCCTAGACTGACCAGTGTGAAAGGCTCAGAGACCCCAGACACAGCAGTGAACACAGACAGGTCTCCCCAGGTGGATGGACAGAAGGACATGGGATGCATGTTGGGCACTGAGTATACAGTACTGAACACTAGATGGATGCTGTGTGGTAGGTGCTAGGTTCTGAGTTCTGTGAATTGAGTGCTGGGCACCGAGTGCTAGGTGGTGGATGTAGACAACATGCTTAAGTCCTGGCAGACACCCCAGTCCCTCCCCCGCCTCACCTGCCCAGCCTGAGGAGCTGAGTCTTTGCCATGGAGTAGACCTCAAGGGCTGTACTCTTCAGGAGCCCCTGCATCCAGCACAAGTCAGCTGGCATCTCAGGCAACCACAGCAGCAGCCTGTGAAAGGGACAGTGTCAGCTTTCCGGGGTGCTCGGGGGCAGTCTCCGATCAGGGGTGGTCCCTGCATTTCAGGCAACAGCAGGAGAGAGGAGAAAGGAAAGGGGCAAGAAGATCTCAGGAAGGCCCTGTGGATCACACAACAGGATATCCAAAAGTGGACTTTGGGAGGGAGGGACCTTGGGGTCAACTTCTTTAGAGTTCCAGTGAGAAGCCTGGGGTAGAAAGGGGAGGGGTCATGTGATGCTAGCTTGGAGACTGCTCTGCAGCCTGGAAAGTCAGAAAAAAACCTCTCTGGGCCTCTGCTTTCCTCTCCTGCCAAATGGGGACCATCTGCCTGTTGTCCTTTACCCTCCTTATCTCCACTCAGCCCGCTTCCTGACCCGTGTCATTCATCCCTGTCTTTTTCGGAGGCCAGTGCCTTCCTCTGCTCTAAATGCCCTGTGAGCGGGTTATAGGGAATACCAAGGGTGAGCGTGGCATGTTCTGGGCTGATCCCAGCCGCTTCACACCATAGAAATGGCTAGATTTCTTCATTTTCATTTCAGCCCACGGTGTTAGTAAACAGCTCTCCGTGAGTCGAGTGTGTCAGGAGGAAGCGTCTCTCCACCAGTCCTGACCCCGTCACTAACTCAGGGCAGTACAACACAGAGCACTGGGGCTCCCCGTCATAGACTCTCTGAAGGGAAAGGCGTTTTAGAAACAGAGCCTTCGGGTCTTGCGTTAGAGCCCACGGCTGGAGTTCTAGGCAGAGGAAACGGTGAGTTCAAAACCGCTCGGGATTGTAAAGCAAGATCCTATCGCAAAGAGAAAGTCCAATCTCCCTAGAGCACCCCTCTGTCTAAATCAAGTTCAGTCACCTGACCACAGACCCCGTGTGTCTGGCCCTGGCCACTCTCTAGACCCATCTCATACAGACACCAGTTTTCACTCCAGCCACACCTCCCTTGGGATCCTTGGATGTGCCTGACTCCCTTCTGCTCCAGGACCTTCGCACACAACATCCCATTCGCTTGGAAGGCCTTTCTTTCCTCTTTGCCTGATGGACTGTGGCCCATCCTTAAGACTGTAGCTTGGATGTCATCGCCTGCCTTCTCTGACAAACAGTTATGATATGGGCCAGCCTAACTCAGGGCTAGTGTGACTCTCTCCTTACAAAGCTGTAAGCTGTACGCTCCACCAGGCCAGAAGTGAGATCGAGGTCAGCCTGCCTCTCTTGCCCCTGGCTAACACCTGGCCCCTGGTCAGCCCTTAGCAGCTGATGAATGAGACAATGAAGTAGCAGGGTCCACTAACCCAGCAAGGCCGAATGCTTAGTACGAGGGCTCAGTGGCCATCAGACTGACCTGAAGGAGCCTTTGTTTTTAGGAAAAGTGCCATGACCCAGAGAGGTCAAAAGAGCTGGCCTAGACCACACAGCCAATCAATCTAAGATAGACCAGTTGGAAGAGTTGCCAGAGGCATTGCGTTGTCATCAAGGCTCTGGCCACAGAGCAAAGGGCAGAAGGTCACAGAACAGTCCAGGTACTAGCCAAGGTTCTGTGTAGCCAATCACACCACTTCCCTACCAATCCTCTGGCAGAGCCTACTCAGGCGCTCCGTGGGCCAACCCTCAGCAGATAGTGTAGGGAACGCAGGTGCCTGCCAGTTCAAGTCACTCAGCTGCCCACACTGTCCACAAGCCTGCCCCCTCAGCCCAGGCAACCTTACCTCCTGCTCCGGAAGTAGACATACTCAAAAGGCAGCGTGCATGGCAGTAGCAGATAGGTCAGTACCCTCCCTGGCACAGAACACTGGAGTCGAGCCCAGAAGTCCCGCTTGCAAGCTTTCCTCAGTGCTGAAAGACAAGAAGAGGCCCCCTTAGTCAGCCTGGGGTCCCAGGAGCTGCAGACAGCTTCCTCCTTCAGCATCTCCACGCTGATGGAACCATTGCTACCAGCAGGGGGCGCCGTGTACATGTCCTTTCAACCCACTGAGGCCCTCACAGAGGAGACTAAGGTTCAGAGTGGAGGTTCAGAAATGCCTAATGAGAATCTCTTCCAGGAAAAAGCAGAGCCAAGCCAGCCTCGAGGCCCGCCAGGCTCCTGTCCTGAGGTCTACCAGAAGTCTGCCATGCTACCTTGGATAAACAAGTATCCCCAGGCCTGTCTCACAGTAATAGACTCAGAGCTACTGTGAGCACAGCATCTGTGTTGCCAGCTCCAACCCCCTTGTTCACCAGACTAAGCAGAGCGGGAGTGACATGAGCCAGGAGGCCACTCCTGACTGTTGGGAGCACAGACTGCAGTTTGGGTTTGAGCAACCATGTCTGAGGTTTGCAGTCAAGGAGACGACACCCAACTCCTTCTATCCCCAGTCACAGGAAATGGGTGTCCGCAGTCGAACATTCCTAAAGGCAGGGAGTGGGAACCCAGGTTGTCTAGGCATTAGAATCACTCTCCCAGCCCCTACCCCGGCCAGCTGCAGTACAGAGGGACAGTAGCCACACCCCACTGATTCCAGATTGAGAAGCTGATCCTAGGGATCAGTGCAGACTGACAACCTCTGGATATGAGTCAATGTTCTATCCTTATCCCATGCTTCCCCCGTGACCCCATAATCTCTTCACTGTCACCTCAACCTCACTGGCCTCTGTCCTCCCCCACTAGCTCCATGCACTTCCACAGTTTCCCAGCTCTGGTTTGAGTGAGAATGTTCCCCAGAAGGTCATCTGTTTGAATCCTCGCTCCTTGATTGGTGGAACTGTTTGGGAAGGATGAAGAAGTGTGGCCTTGTTGGAGGGGGTGTGTCATTGTGGGTAAGCTTGATATATCCAAAGTCTCATGCCAGGACCCTTGTGCTCTGTGTCTCCTGCGTGCAATCTGAGATGTGAACTCTTAGCTATTTCCGCCAGTGTCATGGAACTGGAAGACCAGTTAAACACTCTTCTTTATAAAGTCACCTTGGTCATAGGGTTTTGTCAGAGCAACAGAAAAGCAACCAAGACACCAGCTCTCTCCTCATGCCTATCCAGCCCTCCCCAAGTTTAGGTCTGCTGTGTCACCCCTCCAGAAACCACTAGGCTATAACCCCAGAGACCTATCAGCCCAACCTCTCCAGCCCCAGGGCCTCTGCACGTATGATGCCCTCTGCCCAAACTCTCATCCTTCCATATTTGACTGGCATCCCCTGTTTGAAGTGTCTTTGGGATGTCACCTGCTACTTGGGCCTGTGCTTGTCTCTAGATACATCACTGTGGCCTGGGCACAGGCTTGGCCTCAATATCTCCATGGCAGACAGGAAGACCAGCTGAGTGCCTTCTCTCCCTAGAGCCTCAGTTTCCCCACCAGTGAAATAGTGCCAGATTGTAGTCAGAAGTAAAGGACACAGAAAAAGCCCCCAGCCACACTTGACGCTTAGTAGGGGCTTGGTAGCTGTGAGCATTTGGGCAGGCAAGTGGTGGGAGAAAGGACAGTACCAGCCTCCAGCTCCGGTGCCAGCAGCTCAAAGTCAGGCACATCCTTGACCAGCACATTGGGGATGTCCCATCTGATGGTCAGGCGAAGTTTCTGGCCCTGGTCATGGTCAGCACTCCTGGGTCCCTCCATGGGGGCTGGGGCTTCCTTAGATACCAGTGACCACAGCACTGGCTCCTTGGTGAGTCCTGGATTAGGAGGGAGAAAATCTGATAGTTGGTGCAGTGGCAGCCTGCAGGGGAGATGGTGGCTAACTACCCGCCTGTCTCAGTGCCCAGACCAACTCCAGGACTCAGGCTTCAGGATGAACACCAGTGGGGCCCCGCCCCGCTGTCCAGCCTTCTCTTGAGCCCCAGAGGCATAGTTCCATTCTCAAATTCTGTCCTGCTCACATCTGCCAGCCTTGGGAGTCTCAGCCCTCTGCCTCAGTTCCCTTCTATAAAAAGAACTTAAGTCCTGCTGTCGTGAGAGTTAAATGCAGCACTCTGAAGCTCTAGCCTGGTGCGGGGTGCTGCAGGCTGGGGTGGGGTGCAGGGATTCAGGGTGGGTCTGAAACTCATATCCTGGCTTCATCTCTCAACCTTGCCTTTACAGGGTGGCAGACATGCTTCCCAGACCTGGGGACCACGCACCTCCTGCCAGCTAACAGCCCCTTGGAGTGCAACTCTCCTCCATCCATCCACCTCTGTCTTCCCATCCCAACCAGGCACTCTACTGTTGGTCCCAACCCAGCACAGCTGTCACCCCCAGGAAGCTCTCCCTTCTTGCTCCCCCCATCTCAAGCCAAGGTGAAATCTTTCTCTACCCTAGTTCATTGTTGGAAGAGCCTCTGCCACCCATAGCCCATCTCTATCACTCTGCCTCGGTCTTTGGAAGCTCTAGAAGGGGACTCCGAAGGCACCTTTCAGTCTCCCTAGTGTGGTTTGACCACACACAGTGCAGGCATTGAGGTCCCAGGGTTCAAACCCCAGAGAAGCAGAATCCACCTAACACCATCCCATTACTGCCTTCTGTCACCTACCCCGTCTCTCCAAGAACCTCAGGGCATCCAGATAACCTTGTCTGCAGTAGTCAGCCACCACCTGGGACACAGGGAGCAGAGGGAGGACAGCGTTTGGGGTTCCTTAGCAACAAGCCCTGGGCTGGAGACATGTCAGCAGATGAACACATCCTCAGCCCAGCCTGCTGTCCCAGTGACCCTCTGCAGGGCTCAGAAACCCCAGAGACCCAGTGCTGGCCAGGGAGACCCGGAGTGAGCATGCAGCACCTATCTGTTCCTGACGTCCCCTCCCACTGTCCAGCTCACTCCTTACCGAGAGCTCAGGCACCTGCCTTCCTCTGAGGTACTCCCTCTAGTAGACAGAATGACAAGTCCTGAGTCAGGGTCAATGGGGTCTCTACCTGACTCCCCACAAGTCCAGGGCAGTCCCTTTCCCTTCCCCACCATTGGAAACGTGGAAGCAGAGCTCAGAGGACCAACTCTGTAGAGCCGTCTCTCCCCTTCCACCTTTATGTTGGTTTCTGGACTCAAACTCAGTCACCAGGCTTACTCAGTAGGTGCCTTTATCTGATGAGCCATCTCACTGTGTGTGTGTTGTGTGTGTGGTGTGTGTATGGTGTGTGGGGTGGTGTGTGTGTGTGTGTGTGTGTGTGTGTGTGTGTGTGTGTATGGTGGGTGTGCTGGTCAAAGTCTTAGGAGCTCACTTTCAAAACCATGCTGGACTAACAGAGTGTAATCTTGGCTCTGCCTCTTCAAGGCTGTGTGACTGAACAAATTACCTAAACTTTCTGACCCTGTGCCCTCTGAGAAATGGAACTTCCTCGTCACTGGAGGGCATTGTGGCACACACCTTTCATCCAGCACCCAGGGGACAGAGACAGATAGACCTCTGTGAGTTTGAGACTAGAATAGTCTACGCGGTGAATTCCAAGCCAGCTAGGGCTACATAGTAAGACCCTGTCTAAAAATAAAAATTTTTTTAAAAAAAATTAGGTATTGAAGAAATGGCTCAACAATTAAAAACACTGGCTGTTCTTAAGAAGGAGCATAGCTCAGGTTCCAATACCCATGGTGGCTCACAACTGCCTGTAACTCCAGATCCAGAGGTCCAATGTCTTCTTCTGGCTTCTGTGGGTACTGTGTTCACATGCACACACACACACACACACACACACACACACACACACACACACACACAAATAAAAATAAAAATAAAAACCTAGAAAAAGAAATGGAAATAACTGCCTCTGCTCACGGAGCCTGCCAGTGGAGTGTAGGTCACAGCTGGACTCTAAGCCCTCACCCAGGAGAGGCAGGAGAGGCAGAACCCACCTGCCTCTGTGTGCAATGTGTGAAAACCCATTGTGTGAAATGAGGCCGGTCAATAACTGAAGCTGAGGGGAGGGGTCATGGGCCAGGACCATGCAGGGTGACCTACCTCAGGCTTTGGGGGGAACAGGCTTATGAACCCCTGAAAGAAGTTTATTGTAGAGATCTGGAAACTGGCATTGAAGGCGGTCAGCTCATACAGGCTGCCCGAACGGCTCTGGGGACAGATGTCCACCGTCCCATAGAAGGGAGAGACAGTGATGGTGGTGGGGGAATCGGAGAAGGGCAGGTTGTTGCTCAGGGCTCCATCAATGTAGCGCTGCAAGGCAGGGAGGCAGTGGATCACATCGTCTTCCCCACACCCTCACCGCTGACTGGTGTCCGCGTCCACCCCCCTCCAACCCAGGGACTGAGCTTCTTTAAGGGAGGCTTGGCACACAGTAGGTGCTCACAGGGAGGTGGTGTTCCACCTCTGGACAAACTGTTATTCCAGATGCCTGGAGTTCAGGGCAGGACACAAACAGGGTGGGGGGTGGGAGGCTCCCAAACACACTCACCTCCCCTCTGAACTCCGGAGGGATTGTCCCACAATAAAAGGGGAAATACAAGGAGCAGACCAAAGCCTAGAAGACAAGACAATCGTCCTCACTCAGTGTTCCACACTCTGTGTGCTTCTGGCATCTAGCAGGTGAGACAGGAGATGATGCTAAGCTTCATCCTGTTCTCGCGCATGCAACCACGAGCTCCAGTGAAGAACAGAGGAACACGGTCCTCCTTGGCAGCACCTCCCTATCTCTGTGGAGGGCACCCAGCTGCCTGGAGACTTCAGGTGGGATGCTCCACGATATATAAACCAAGGTATCTGTACCAACCCTGGGTCTGGCATAAAGGTGCTACCAATAGCCTCCGTGTATCTCCCCAAAAACTGTTCTCAGAGTTGATCCAAACAGATGCTCCTCTGAGGGGGACTGTCAGGCCTTCCCTTCCCATGAGAGACACCATCTCCCAGCAGAAGCCCTGAGTAGTGCCGCTGGACAGGGGTGGAGGGGGAGGTGCTTTGTCTATAGACTATGACCACCGAGCACGGGTCTTGCTGTAATGGGGCTGCACATGCTGTCCTGCGTTGTAGGATGCTCAGCATCATCCCTTGTCTCTCCTGCTGAATGCCAGCAGCATGCAGAGCGTGACAGGCAAGAATAGCTCCAGCAGGGTCAACTATGCTGGAGGGTGGGGCGGGACTATGCAAATATTGCTGACCTAGGTCTCCAAGTTCAGGGGACATAGACCCTCACCTGACAACCCTAAAAGACTCTCCCGCAGAGAAGCAGACACAGTACGGGTTCTGAGGGTTCAGAATACGAGTGAGCCCATCCTTCCCACAGATGGATACAGTTGATGACAGCTGAGATTTACTGAGCACCTTATATGTGCTGCCCAGGTGAGCACACTGGGACAGGTTCTAAAGTCCTTCCCCGGACATCAGTCCACAGCAGTGATACCCCTCAGGCACACTGAGAATCACACACCTATGTTCTAGCAACTGCTGGCTCAAGCTGCCCCAGCATCCGGTAAAGGGCACCATGATGAGACTAGGTATATGTAAACCTCGGTGTCAGGGGCAGACAGAGACAGTTATGGGAAGGGTGGGCAGAGCTGCTCTAAGGGACATCAGGATTCTTCACACTGGGCTGAGGTCCTCCCACATGGAAACCCATATCCCTTCAGAGCTATTATTCCCCTATGGCCCTGCTCAGTCTTTCTGATCCCCAAAGCCTGTCTCCCACTCCTCCATCCCCTCTCGTCAGATCAGAACCAGAACAGGCTCCATTCCTTCCCTGTCTTGCTCTTCTGATCAGGTTTCACATAGGCCCTTTTCTGTGAGGTGTGCTTATTGGATACAAGTCTGGAAAAGGCAAGGATTTTTCATTTGTGCCCCCTCCCTGGCAAAAATCACAGCATACAAACAGTGCCCACACATATTACATGTTCAGTAAATGTTTGTTCTGGCACTCAGAAAGCATTTGGAAGATGAGGGTAGATGGGACAGGGAGGGCTCCTCTGGAATAAGCAACCCTAGATACACTGACTACAGAAGCTGACTTCCCCTCAACCTGGCCCAAGGACCCTTTGGGTTCCTCTCCACCCCACCCCCTAGAGAGCCTCGGACTCAGACCAGTCCTAGCTCCTGCTACATACCCCAACACACACACACACACACACACACACACACACACACACACACGTCACCCACAGAAACCCCGTGGCTCACTATTCTTTGATGGCTTATTCTCCTTGGGCCCCAGGTCATAGCTCAGCATCAGCTCACCTGGATGAGTTCATCTCGCGTGGCAAAATCAGTGACTATGAAGTTCTGGCCATCATACCATCGGGTCATGGAGATGCCCAGCCTCTGGGAGGCCAGGATGTGGCAATTCTCAGGTAGGGTGTCCTGCAGCTGTTTCCTGATATGCTCAATGGGGCCATAGGCCGGGTGGAAGATGCCCAGGCTCAGACGCTCCACCTGCTTCACCATGCCCAGGAGACTGGAGCAGCAGAAGTCTGCAAGGTGGTGGAGGCTAAGGTCTCAGCTACCTGGGACCACCGAAGGCCACCCTCACCCACCAACAGCCCACCTTCCTCGGGGATGCCTGGGAGTCAGTACATGTATCTCGGTCCTGGGTGTCAGTGACCTTTGGGGTAGTATCCCAAATCTGAAGCCAGGACTCATCTTTGGAGATAAAGTGACCACAGTCCTCAGATTTAGAGGCTGAGTGTAAAGACCTCAGGAGGAAAAGGGGAGGCACCTTGCCAGGTTCAGCTACCTGTAGTGTCCCTGGACCTCCCCAAGCACCTGCCGACTTGCCGCAAACAATGCTCAGGGCGTTGAGCGCGCCTGCGGAGGAGCCATAGAAGCGACGGGCGCCCTGGAGGATGCACGGTGCACGCTGGCGCAGGCACTGGGTGGCACCCACGTGGTAAAGGCCCAAGAAACCAGCGCCAGCGAAGGACAGGCTCCAGCCGCCCTCTGCCTCCAGGAAGTCCATAGTAGGGCACTTGGAACACCACAGCCTGGATGTAGCACAGGAGCTGGAAGGACCGCTTGCCAGGCGCCAATGAACTGAGACCAGACAGTGACTGAGTTGGAGCTCCGGAGGTGCAGCAGGGTGGCCCCACCCTACACTGAGTCACCTGTAGCCCTAGCAAGTGAGGGACTGGCACAAATACCCTATCCAGGTGTGCACAGTTGTGCCCAGAATCATTGCGATCTGCAAGCACCCTGGCCAGGTCCGCACGTTCACCCTGCTCCAAATTGCAGTTGCCTAACCTCGGGGTGTTTGCATTTCGAAAGAAGGAACGGAGGCATAATCAGGAAGGGGCAAGCCTGACTTGCTGCAGGTGGTAGTGGTGGTGGTGGGGACATAGGAAGGGAGGGAGGCTGTAGACCTGGGATCTGGGCTCAGCAGGGACAGGTTACTATAGAACACTTCCTCCAGATGCATCAATTCCCCTCACTGCAGTCAGCAGGAAGGGACCAGACTCGCAAGTGCATATGTCTGAACAGGTGAGGTGAGGTGAGATGAAGTGAGGTGAGGTGAGGTGCTTACATGGCCAAGTCATCACGTGGAAATCAGGCCGGGCATGCCCTGGGGGGCAAGAGAAATGAAGCATACACCTGGAGGTCAAGAAGAGCAAGGCGGCAGCGGTGTGTGGGGTGGTGAGCAAAGAGGACCCCAGTAAAGAAAGGGGATGAGTGGAACCCAGTAGTGGACCCACTCTGGATACCACAGGACCTTACAACTAGTCAATAAGGACAGAAGGCAACACACTGCAGGCTGCCTGGTGGTCACATTCCCTAGCAAACTCTGTGCCCCAGTTAAGTGACTCATCCAGTTAAAGTGTTGCCAACCCTGACCGCCTGAGTTTCCACCCCCAGGATCCCCACGGCAGAGGGAGAGTATTGACATCTGTAGGCTGTCCTCTGACCTCCACACATGCACCATGCCATCTGCACCCACCTACGCACACACACTCAAAGATAAAGAAATGTAAATTAAATGTGAACTGCACTCTGTGATGTAAAAATAATATATGTCACAAGTGACATGTTCTCGAGGGCATGGCTCTGCAGAGTCCAGGGCAAAGGAAGGAGGGAGGAGACCTAGAGGGCTGACAACAGGTGAGGGGGTGCACAGCAGGGTTAGGTTTGGGCACGATGCAGCATCTCCCTGTACCATCCCCACCAAAGCCGCCAGGAGTGGGCAGCAAGCCTCCGGGACTCGCATAAGACCCCGGCAGGGCAAGGAGCACCCTGAGATTTGTTTCCTTGGCAGTGAGATTCTGAGGTCAGGTGAGGCTGGAGGGCAAAGGTCAAGGGCACACCTTTGCAACTGTGCTCCATCACCGGTGGTGGTGCCTGCCTGTCTGAAGAGGTCCCTTCCCGTTGAGGGACTCCACTCAAGTAAAGCCAGGTCCTGATTTTATCTCAAAAAAAGTTCAGGACCAGCAAGCAGTGAGTTTAGTAGATATTGAGGTCATCATGGAAGAAGAGGACAGGGTACATGCAGAGCAAGGGGAGTGGTTTTTATTTTATTTTATTTTATTTTTGCCATTTCATTTATTTGTGTGTTTGTATTTGGTGCATGCATGGAACTGAGAAGACAACTTGTGGCAGGAAGTTGGTCCTCTCCCTCCGCAAGTGGGTCTCAGGGACCTTCACCCGCTGGACCATTTCAGGGAACCCCATACCTTGTAGTTGCCAGCATCCTTGTTTGAGACTTCAGGAAGATGAACACAAGCCTTGGTGGTAATCGGGCTCTGTTGTGACTCCCAGCCAGATTCTGGAGGGCTGGGCTCTTTCTCTTCCGTATTTCATTTCCGTCCCCCATCTTTCCGTTCTTACTCATACATAGGCTTTTCCCATGCTCTAGCCTGAGGCTTGCTTGGTAATATGCTTTCATCTCTACCGCAACCCTGTGAGATAACATGACCAGGCAGCCCCGGTTTACAAATAGAACCACAAAGTCCTGTACCAGGAACCCAGGAGAGCACAGCAGATAGGTGGGATGGTGCGGAAGACTGAGGCAGCAGAAGTACAGATTCGAACCCTGGAAAGGCTGCAGAGCAAGGACAAGATCAACCTTTGGAACTTAGTGAGACCTTGTCACAAAATAAAAATAAAAAGAGGACTGGCGGCCAGGCAGTGGTGGCACAGAGAAACCCTGACTCAAAAACAAAAACAAACCAACAAAAAAGGTAAAAAGAAGGCTGGGATAACCACTGTCTAGTGGTCGCACACACCTTTAATCCCAGCACTCGGGGACAGAGTCAGGCAGATCTCTGTGAGTTCAAGGCCAGCCTGGTCTACAGAGCAAGTTTCAGGACAGGCTCCAAAACTACATAGAGGAACCCTATCTTGAAAAACAAAAAAAGAAGAGGGCTGGGGATGTAGCTCAGTGGTAGAATGATTGCCTAGCTTGCACCAGGCCCTGGGTTCAATCCCCAGCACTGTAAGACCAGGAGTGGGCATGGTGGATGGTGTTGAAATCATGAAAGACAGAGAATTAAGTGGCTAGAGAGCTCGGAGAGGTGACAGCTGAGCACAGCCCCGATGACCCTCCACGCATGTCTGGTGACACCGCAGATGGACCCTCGTAGACTAAAAACATCCTGACTAGAAATGCAGTTGCATCGCCTAGCAGACCAAAGCTTGGCGATGGCATCTCTGCTGCATATCTAATGGAGGTGGCACTAGAAAGGACCCCATTGGGACAGTCCAAGAATGTCCATCTGAACTGGGACCACACCATGGTGCCGTGCCGGTGGCCGACTCGTGGGTTCTGAGTGCTGTAATGCAGTTATCTAATGTGCACTTCGCAGACGGTTGTGGTGGAGCACTTCTGTAATCCTAACCCTTGGGAGGCTGAAGCAGGAGAATTGCCGTGAGTTCCAAGGCCATATTGAGTGCCAGAGAAGCCAGGGCTGCACATCAAACCCTGTCTTAAAACACACGAACAAAGAAGCTCACCTTGTTCCTGAGAGACAAGTTGAAGTGTTTGTGAGTGTTAAATTGACATCAAAGGCCCCTTAAGGGAAAGCTGTTTCCTTCTGGTCAAGAGAATGCCATCCACCTCTGTCCTAACAATTCATATTACCCAAAACATGATTAACCCATTTAGGTCAAGTCACCTGGCTAAGGGATTCTCTCCACCGTCCCTGGAAAGCAGATTCACCTAACGCTATGCTGGAGAGAACGGAGGAATAATAATTTAATGAGAAGATACACTTTTCTTCCCAGAGTCCTGTGTTTGTGTGTTAGCTGGGAAGCCACTATAAGGTTCTTTGCGGCTTGGTTATTTCTTTGTTGTCTTTCTGCCTCTTTCTTTCGGACACAGACAGGTTGTAACTATGCGTTCTCTGGTATTTGGGGCTTTTTCGCTCTTTCTCCCAAACCACTTCCCTTTTGTCACGTAGCTACTAGCCATACCTCCATGCCTAACTCAAGTGCATGGATTTTCTCTTCGTCTTCCTCCTCCAGGAAGCCTCTGGGATTTACAGCCTGCCTGCTCCAGGGTTTTACTAATAAAATTCTCCTTGTGCTCCCTTTTGAGCAATTCTTATATTCTTTGAGTGAGCCTCAGAACCCTGAGAGGGGACCTCCCATCTCCTCAATAACATGAGACAGCCTACATGGGGCTCCCCCCAAATTTCTAGTCATAAGAGCAGAGGTTGAACATTCTCATGCTTGTCTCAAAGGACTCTGTAATGAGACACTGTGCTCCCAGCTTTGTCTCTGTGCTAGGGAGTTTTGTCTAGGGAGCTCTGGGGGTAGGAAAAGCAGGAGAGACTATGGCAGGATCTATGGACCCAGAGGAGTGTGTCTGAGGGAATCTAGCAAGGCCAGGCAGGCAGGAAGGACTCTAAAGAAAGTGACCTTAATGGGCCCAGTTGACCAGGCAACCTTGCCCATGGTGGGAAGAGCTGAGGGGATGATGGGAGAGGATCTCTTTGGAGATCTCTATGTCTAGGGGAGACTGTGATGTAAACATACGATGATGTCACTGGGTCATGCAGTTGGCCTTAGGCAGGGAGGAAGAGGAAGAGAACGTGACCTTGGTGGCAGGCAGACCTCGTCTTACTGCTCCTCAGTTCCTGGATTCCTGGATACTCTCCCCTAGTTGCTGTACCTGGTTCCAGAGTGGCAGGGTTTCCCAAAACACTATCCAGGACCTAGGACCCTGTGGTACAAGAGTCTCAAGTGCCATGTGTCAACAGCCAGCATCCTTCCATCCGTGTAGGAACTCCTGGGTGACCCACAGCTGCTGCGGCTCCCAGGACACATTGGGAAAAAGAGGTAAGGAAATTGTACTCAAGGCAAGCAAGCAAAACTCCCTCCACCTACAGTGAAGACTCCTGTAGTGTAGACGCTGGCCCAGGCCTCGGTGCCCCACCTACATGTCTAGGGTCCCACACAGAGCCTGGTGCACAGCAGGTGACTATGTGGAACCTGAGTCCAAGAAGGTGAGGAGTTAGCTATGAGGTTGCTAAGGAAAACTGTAGCTGATCTTGGTGGCCATCTCTGATGACTAAGATCCCTTTGGCTGGACATGCTGGAAGCTGTAGCTAAGCTGTTCCCACTGCTTCAGAAACTGAGGCATGGGGTGAGAGGGTGGAGAGATAGCTCAGGAGTCAAGACCCTGGATGTTCTTACAGAGGACCTAGGTTTTGTCTTCACCACACTCATGGTGGTTCACAAACTGATTCCAGTTCCAAGGAGTTCAATGCCCTCAATGGCCTTCAAGAATGCTAGGCATGTACAGGTTGCACAGACATACATGCAGAAGAGACACCCAGGTATGCAAAATAATTGTTAAAAGAAAAGGAACTGAGACACAAGGCTTTCTCCCACACCTGTTCCATAATGAAGGAACCTTGTTTTGTTTTTCAAGACAGGGTTTCTCTATATAACAACCCTGGCTTTCCTGGAACTCACTTTGTAGACCAGGCTGGTTTTGCGCTCACAGAGATCCCCAAGTGCTGAGATTAAAGGTGTGTGCCCGCTATGTCCAGCTCTTGACCTTGTTCTAACATCTGCACATGGCTGTGAGCTCCTCATCAGACATTTTATGGAGGGTTGTGGGAATAAAGACTCTAAAAAGCAACTAAGTCCTCCGTGATATGGATGGAAAAAAATGATCACCTTACCCAATAAATGTGTTACCCACCTTATGAATGCTCCTAATACC